ATAACAACAATAACAACAACAGATCAACAATCAACCCCTTGACACCAGTAGTCAGGAAATCAGAAGTATTGCACTGGGCGAGTCCACTCTGAGGAGCCTCTGCAAAATACTTAAGCGCAAGTATGCTAGTTTGAAGACTAAGATTTTCGTAATTCAGGACGTGGTCTTCTCAGTCACCTGCTATGCATCAGAGAGCTGGACAACAAATAAGGATGATAGAAGACTTGATGTATTTGAGTTGTAGTGCTGGAGAAGAATTCTGACTATAGAATGAACTGCCAAAAGGAAAACTAGATATATCTTGCAGAAAGTGAAGCCAGGGTGCTTCTTAGAGGCAAAGATGACAAAGTTTCGTGTCTCATAATTTGGATGTGTTATTATGTGAGGTTATTCCTAGGAAAGAGACATGATGTTTGGAAAGATGGGGGTCAGCAAAGGAAAGGAAGACTCTCTGTAGGGTGAATTGACACAATGACTGTAGCAATGCACTCGAGTGTCAAGGATGATGAGGATGATTCAAGATAGGGCAAATTTCAGGTCTGTTATTCACAGGGTCACTATGAGTCACACTCAACTCAGTGGCACCTAACAGCAACAACAACTATCACATTTATAACATGATATTGTAAAGACTATTTGCTTTCAACACTAAGGAGAATAGGTACTATTCTATCCTCTGATAGTAATCTAATATTTTTTTTTAAAAATATCCAGAGTTGTGTTTGCTTACTTGATGATGTGTGAACAAAACTAGTAATACAATCATCTTAATTTATATATCTCTAATGATCTAACTGTATATTTATTATACACTATTGAGTATTTAGAAAAGCTTTAAATAATTTGTAGGGGAAAATTATACAGCATATCGCTACATGATACAGAGTTGTTCGTACCATTTATCTTGTTCTCTTCCCTCTCAGTGAAAGTTTACTCAGTTATTTACAGATGTATTTTTAAATGTTACTATGAGTCGCAGGCGACTCGACGGCACATAACAACAACAACAACATTTTAAAATGTATAATTAATTTATCATTTTACCTAATATTATTCAATTCCATAATATTTATCATCTTCATTTAACTCATATTTAATATTTATAACTAAAGCTAATATATTCTATCTCTGAGGAAAAAAACACATTTTTATTTAGAATTTGGATTGAAAATCCGTAAACTGATTTTGTATACTTCTTTTTCCTTATAAAGAAACATTTGATATATTCTTTGTAGAATTTTAATTGCCTGTAATTTGCATCAGTATTACTAGCTGTCTTTAACAGACTTCTTTCCACTTGTTGAAATCTTCTGCACTATTGTGTCCAAGGTGAAGACTTCATTTTATTGCTCCAGTTAAAAATCAGCTCAGTGCCTCTTCTGTGACCTTTTCATAGGGTGACTCCAGATGGCAGCACGTTAAACATCTACAATGTTCTCAAAACAGACATGGGGAAATATACATGCGTGGCTACCAATCCTGCTGGAGAAGAAGACCGAATTTTTAATTTGAATGTCTATGGTAAGTATGAAATTTCACCCTCTTTTATCTATGACACCTTAGAAAACTATCTTTAAAGATGAAAATTCATCAGTAGGCATTTTTACAATCTGAACATTCTTTTTTTACAATTTGGTACTATTGTTGTTTCCTCAGATCACTCTCATCTCATTGCTGTGGATTTAAAATCAACTCATAGCTGAGCCTCTATTGAGTTTCCAAAGCTAATCACATAAGAGGAGATTTCTCATCTTTATATTTCAGAGCAGCCAGTGAATATTAACTGCCAGAGAAGTGAAGCCTTTAGGTTTATAGCACAACTCCCTATGGAATACATCACCCTGTCCCTACGTGCCCTCTTGTCGCTTAGACAGCAAAAATGTGGGCAATTACAATTGAAATGACTTAAAATAGTAATACACATGTCTTTCTCTTTCTCCACTCCCTTGCCCTCTTTTTCTACATTGCCTAGTTCCACCTGTAATCAGGGGTAATAAAGAAGAAGCAGAGAAACTAATGGCTTTGTTGGATACTTCCATAAATATTGAATGCAGAGTCACAGGAACACCACCACCACAGATCAACTGGTTAAAGAATGGACTTCCTCTTCCACTTTCTTCCCATATCCGGTTACTTTCAGGGGGACAGGTTATCAGGTCAGCCTTTACTGTGTGTGAACAATAAAATATCTGCCATTAAATAACTTCCTTTCATTTAAAGTGTTTCAGAAATAATTTTTTTAAGCTTTAACTGTGTATTCACCCTCCCCTTCAGTAAATTTTTAAAAGAGAGAAAATAACAAAGTTGACATGTGTTTCCTCTTAATTAAAGGTTCATACTTCCTAAATTTGTATAAGACTTTTCATAGATATGTCATCACAACTTTATTTCCATAGTTTACCCTTTGAGCTAAAACCAATTATATAATTATATAATTAATATATAATTATATTAACTGCATGACTTTCATGTTAACATCATTCTCTATTGTATGTTTCTTCACTATTGTATCTCTAAGTGTATATTTGAAAATATTTACTTTACAAACATTTATCTTTTCAGTGGCTTACTGGAGGAAAACTGTATGTAAGGTGTCTGTATTTTGTCTGTATTGAGTGGGATAAAGTTAATTTGCTGAACTGTCTGTCTTCCAGGATTGTCAGAGCTCAGGTGTCTGATGTTGGTGTGTACACCTGTGTGGCCTCCAACAGAGCTGGAGTGGCTAATAAGCAATATAAGCTTCAAGTCTTTGGTATGTAACAGAAACATCCCTTCTACTTTACTACATATCCAGTATCAAGTTCACATTTGGTCCAGAATTAAGTATATGTTTAGAATCGACTTCTTCCTGTAACAGAAATGCTTGGTAAGAATCTTTTTTTCCCCCAATCATTTACATTTTCTTTTATATCATTAATTCCAACTTGTTAATAAAATTCATTGAAATCTCTCATCAAACTCCCCTTATACACTACCTTTCACGTATTGCTAACTAGGGAGGATTAATTTGCCAACATGAATATTTTGGCGACAATATTTGTTGGACTATAAGGATGGGGGAAAATATTGTTCTGATCAGGAATTTGGCATTAAATCAAATATTCATTTTTAAAATGTTTCAATCCAGACAAAGAGTCAAAGAGGAGTATTTCTTATCCAAGGAGAGTTAAGACTGTCTTACAAGAATATGAGCAATTCCTTTAAAGCGTTTAAGACATGGGTGGATACTGGTCTTATGTCTCTCTTTATGTGTGTACATAGAACTAACTCAAAAACTCCTCCTTGGAAATACTGAGATTTGCTGTCCACATTCCTCCATCCCCAAGCACATCTCAGAATAACTAAATAACCTCTTTATAGATTACAGATTACTTTTCTTGGATTATATAAAATTTACATAAGAATCTAATTTTGTTTTATTTATCTCACTTACCCAAAATACACACAAAAAAACCCCACCAAACCCACAACTCCGAAACTTGTTATTATGTCAATTCCAACACTTACCTATTCTATCATTGTTGGTAGGTGCTGTCAAATTGAGCACAACTCATAGTGACCTGATGAACAACAGATCTGAACCTTTTCCTACCCTGTGCCATCCTCACACTTCCTGACAAACTAGAGCCCATTGCCGCAGCCTCAGTGTCAGTCCACCTGGTTGAAAGTCTTTGCCTTCTCTGACCCTCTGCCTTCCCAAGCATGATGTCCCTCTCCAAGGAATAGCTTCTCTTGGCAACATACTTGAAGTAATTTGAGATGAAACATGATCATATTTGCCTCCGAGGAGCACTCTCGCTGCACTTTCTCCAAGACATATTTGTTTGTTCTTTTGACAGTTTATGGGATGTTCAGTATTCTTCTCAATTCTATAGAACAGAATAAAACTATCCTCGTAGGGTTCCTGAGGCTATAAATCTTTATGGAAGCAGACTGCCTCATCTTTCACTCAAAGCAGCTAGAACGGCTGGTGGGTTGGAACCACTGACTTCTTGGTTAGCAACCAAAGCTTTAATCATGATGTCGCCAAGGCCTCTCATTAACTCCACAGAAGAAAGTTGGGCATATGCTACTATAAATTTTGTACTCAATATAAAAAAGACACAAGTGTACATTGAAAAATTGCCTAAATAATGCTTAAAGTGACAGTAATGTAAAATGACCAAATATAGATTTTAGGATCTATAAGATAATATTTCTGGAAGTTTCAGGGCTAATGCTTAAATATTTTAATAGTATACAAACCACATACTTCTTCTATACTAAAGCCATAAAGCAATCATTTATTAATTTTAAAAGCATTTGGCTTTGTCTAAATTACTCTCATACTACAATAATTCTGCCTTTTTTTTTGTTCTCTTTAGTACCACCAAATATGGACAATGCAATGGGAACAGAGGAAATCACAATTGTCAAAGGCAATCCCACCTCCATGGCATGCTTCGCAGATGGAACCCCAACTCCAAGCATGTCATGGCTGAGAGATGACCAGCCACTAGAACTTGACTCCCATCTGACAGTAAACACCCAAGGAATGGTCCTTCAGATCATCAGAGCAGAGACTGAGGATTCAGGAAGGTATACCTGCATTGCTTCGAATGAAGCTGGAGAAGTCAGCAAATATTTTATCCTGAAGGTCCTGGGTATGTAAAATTTTTAACAAATGTAGAATAACTGGAAATTAAGGACAGTAAAAGCTTAATTAAAAACTAGAACTCCTTGTCATACGGCTGAGTCTCAGCATGACCCTCCATTGAGCTTCTGAAGTTCTAAATCATAATAGTAGGAGATTGCTTGTCTTTCTACAACTGAACCACGAGTTGATTCAAACCATCAGAAATATTCAGCCTTTGGGTTAGCATTTCAAAATAGGTTTAATTCTTAGAATCATTATGCAGTTGGAAAAAAAATTGTGATAAGTACCTTATAATTCATATTCTGTTTTAGATTTCACCTTTATTCTTATCTGAACTATGTTTTAGAGTTTTTAAATGTTTTTTGTTTTCATTATTTTTATTTATATTCATTATATTCATTACAAGCAAAATTAATATACTTTTTTAATATAAATTGTGTTTCACACATTCCTCTACTCACATTGTGTTTCATTGTGTCATTCCCATGTATTGTGTTCTATAAAATTAATACCCTTAGTCCATGCCAGTCATTACTTCACCTTTTCAGGTCTCCATGAGATCTTTTCCAATTTCTCCAAACCTCACTCTGCCCACATAACTCTAATTCTTCAAGATTTCCCTTGTACCACTACCCTAAGCCCCCCTTTTTTCCCCTTTGGATTTTTTTATACATCTTTGTATTTTTACGGTAATGATTTTATGCAGTGTTTGTCCTTATGAGACTGAGTTAGTTCACTTAGCATAATGCCTTTCAACCTCTCCCATGTTATGTAGCAATTTTCAAAATCATTGCTCCTGAGTACTGCGTAGTATTCCATCTTATGAACAGACCACAATTTCTCAATCCATTTGTTTGTTGATGAACATTCTGGCTGTTTCCATTTTCTTGCTATTGTGGATAGTGCTGCTATGGACACATCTCTCTTTGTGTCTTGGTTCTATTTTTCTTGGGGTATATTCCTACGAGTGGAATAGCTGGGTCATATGGTATTTCTGTGTTCAATTTTTTGAGACATCATTCTGCCTTCAGAAATGGTTGTACCATTTTCCAATCTCTGTTCATCCTCTCCAACATTTATTACTTGCTGTCCTGTTAAAATTTGTCACTGCTAATGGGATGAGATAGTACTTCACTATGAATTTTATTTGCATCTCCATTATTGCAGTAATTTTGAGCATTTCTTCAGATGTTGGTTGGCCATCCAAGTGTCTTCCTCTGTGAAAAAATCTTTCCATGTATTTTGCCTATTTTGTAATTGGTTTATCAGTCTTTTTCTTGTGAAGGTACTGTAGGATTCTGTAGACTTTAGTTAGAGACCCTTGTCTGAGATGATATTGAAAAATGCTTTTTCCAAATCAGTAGGTTTTCTTTTTACCCTATTAGGAAAAGTTTTTTAAGCACACAAGAATATCTGAAGTATGTTAAATTTAAATTATTATACCTTTTTTGTCCCTGAAATAAAAACTCCTTCTTGTTAAACTGGGAGTTCTGATGGCAATGTCAGGAGTTGCATTGCTAACACAAAAGCTAGGCTTCTCTCGTGGCTCAAATCCACCATCGGCTCCTCAGGAAAAGATGATCAGTCTCTTCTCTTGTGATGTACAATCTGAGACACTCAATGGAAAGTCAGTTATGAGTTAGTTGCAACTCAACAGCAATGAGAGAGGCTTGTAAAACATAATTCATTGATAAAAGTAATAAAACCATTTGATAAGTAGCTTTTTAACTTTTTCCAAGAATTGAAAGTATTATCTGATGATAGCAATTTAATAGGAAAAACATGTTATGTGTTATTCCAAATAGATTTTAAGTGATTCAATCTGTAAATAGTCATTGGAATAGTCATTTCAAACCGTCTGGTTCTATTTATTCTTGTATATATTTAAACTGAATATTTAAAATGTATATTGTATGTTCTCCATGCAAACAAATAGTGTAAAGGTAAAACAGTCTTTTTTCTTGAAGTGAGAAATTTGAGCATGGGAGAGAAAGGAAATTGATTAATAATTATTACTTTTTTTTTTGAGATCTATGTGTGTGTTACTAGGTTTTGGTTACTTATATGCCACCTCCTAGCATAGTACATAGCGACTCTTCCTTTGTGCAGGCTCAATATTGATAAGAGTCCAGGTTAGGTGAAATCTAACATATGTTTTTAGATATCCTGAAATTCTTTCTTATAACACTTATTAAAACTGACTTAAGTATGAAATTTTTTAATGTATTTCACCCCTAGATATTGAACTCTATAAGCACGAAGACCATTCCCATATTATTATTCCTCTTTTGCCCAGTATTTAGCATATTTGACTCATCAGAAATCTTTTTATATCTATTTGTTGGAAGGAATTAAATTGGTTTAGGGATTTTCCAGCTAGATAAGGAGTGTTTCCACTGTTCCATGAGAAAGCAAAGCATGATACTATGGTGTAGATGAGTCTCTATAGAAAGAAATAAGATAGTGGAAGTAATATCCCATAATATTTAGAGGCAAAGGGCAGAAAAATATGTGTTTATGTACATATGCACACATGTGTAGAGGAAGTAATAAATTTCTGCTCATAAATTTACAGCATATGGGAGTAGCCAGAAATTATACATAATCTCATATGCTTCTTTTTTACATATTAATTCAAAACTCAAACTCATTGCTGTTGTGTCAAAACTGATTCATAGCTGACCATCCAGCAGGTTTTCCAAAGCTGTAAATCCTGTGAGAGGAGAGTGCCCATGGCTCTCCCACGGTGCAGCTGGTGGATTTGAACTGCCAGCGAGATATGGCTTTTGGGTTATAGTACCACAACTCCCTAAGGACTCTGCCACCAGAGAATATATGCTTCAAGCCTGCTTCTAGGAATCGTCTGGCACAACTATTGTGTTACAGTATAAAGTGATAGGCACTGGATGTATCACTGACTTAACTAAATATGGTCTCAGTCCTCGGGTTTTCACATTCAGGGTATGTACGTGAACAAGTAATTACTTGTGAGGGTAATGAGGATTACATGTTTAAAGTAATACCTTGTGGGATAGTAAGGTTCAGATATTTCTTTAAGAATAGACTTAAGATTGTAGGATTAAGAGGGGAGTTAGATGGACTTTTGCCTAGATTTCTCACCTACAGGCAAGAAAGAGCTGTAATTGCCCATCTGGACTGATTGAAGCTGAGTTTTACAAACACAAAAGTGGAAAGGAAAAAAAAGGCTGAGAATATAGGCAGAAGGCAAATTGAGAAAAATTTTGAGATCATTTTAGGGAGTTACATTTATTGTAAAGGCAAAAGAAGAAGTGTAAGCAGAGATATGTTATGGTCATACTCAATTTTTTTAAAAAAGAATTTTGAAACAGATTGGAGAATTAAAGAAATGAATATGATCACATAGGCCTGAAAGTGCAGAAGTATATTCTTGCCTAGTGGCAGTGAATTCAGAGAAAAAAACTACACTTTTTGAAATTCAACAGTCTAGGAGCAGAAATCACAGGGAATGAATCTTTTTTTTTTTTAACTTTTATCGTGGTTTTATTCTTAAATCCATTTTATCAGAGATTAGTATTACCACTCCTTCTATTTTGTGGTTGACATTTGTTTGGTATAATTTTCTTCCCAGCCTTTCATTTTGAGTCTTTCTTTCCACTTTTTAGATGTATCTCTTTTAGACAACATATTGATTGGCTTTGTTTTTTTTTTTTTAATCTATTCTGCTACTCTTTTTCTCTTAATTGGCACATTTCGTCCATTCACATTAAATAAGATTATTGGCAAGCCGGATTTTACCGTTGCCATTTTGCTGTGTTTCTTTTTCCATTGTTTCTGGTTTCCATGGTCCATCTACTTTCTTTTGGTGTCACCATGTGAAAAACTTCACTTAAAATTTCTTATAATTTTTGTGTTGTTTTCACAAATTGCTTAGATTCCTTCTTTTCTACAAAGGATCTAGTTTATCCTTCATATTTGATGGAAAGCTTTGCTGCTTCTAGAGTTCTTGGCTGATAAATGTTTTCTTTCGACAGTTTGTATATGCTATCCCATTGTCTTCTAACTCTCATGATTTCTGCTGAGAAATCAGAACTTAATCTAATTGTTTCCCCTCTTTGATTTTCTCACACTACTTTTAGTATTCTATCCCTACCTTTTAATTCGGAGAATTTGACTATGATAGGTGGTATGTTTTCCTTTCTGTGTCTAGTCTATTTGATGTTTGTTCACTGTGCTTCTTGAATATGGATGTCCTCATTCTTCAAAATATCTGGGAACTTTTCTTCTAGTACTTCTACCACAATTTTCTCAGTGACTTCCATGTCACTCTCACATTCTGGAATTCCAATCATATGTATGTTGTTCCTTTTGATCCTAACATGTCTCACCTCTGGTTTTTCTTCTAGTGTGTTTCCAGTGAGGCTCTTGTCTTCCAGCTCACTGACTCTTTGTTCCATCTTTTCGGTTCTACTTTTTTGTCCTACCAGCGTGTTGGAGACTTCTGCCATTTTGGACTTAATAATCTGTATTACATTTTAAAGCTTTTCTATTATTTCCAGTTCTGTGTTGGGTATACTCTGTCTGTCTTGTGATGATTTTTTAAGTTCTTGTACTTCTTTATCTTTTTTTATCATTTATTTCTTTCACATTTTGCTTTTTCTCCCATAGCTGCTCAAGTTGCTCCTCATCCATATATTTTTTCACTGGATTGTTGTCTTGCTCTCCTAATGACTTCAATTGCTTTTCATCCATCATTTGCATTTTCTTCTGTAGCTATTTAAATAACTCCACATCAACATGTTTGTTCTGGTTCAATCTATCTGGAGTACTCATTGGATCTGCTTTATTTTAGGAGAAGGGTTGTTTTGATTTTTTTTTCATGATAACTGAGGTAGACTGCTGCTTTCTTGACATTATGTGAGTCTTTTTTCTTAGTAGATGTTAGGATGTTGTAACTATTTATTGACCCAGGGTATGGCAATGTTGCGTGAAGAACCTGTATATTGGTGCTCCCCTCTGGGGAACAACAGTCAACCAGGAGCAAGATGAAAACTGGGACTCTACCCAGCTTCTTCCCCTTGAGCTTAAGTAATCCCATGAGAGGGAGCTTTAGTGGCCTGGTGGCAAGAAGATGCACTGCAATCCTGAAGGCATGTGGTTCAAATCTCCTAGATGCTCCTCTGGAGGAGGAGCAATATCCTCCTTTGCCAATCAGTCCAATTTGACAGTACATAATAAGGGGGGGGGGACGAAAAGCCATGTGATGTAGCTAGACAGCAGTGTTTAAGGCCATAGTGCCTATGATATTTGTATTCCTGGCGCAGGACAGTGGGGCAGCAGTTAGGTGGTCTCTAGGTGGCAGGACAATGCAGTTTTCAGTTAGTGAGGCAGAGGGATCTCCAGGTAGTGGGAAAGCTGTCTAGTGCTCTGGGTGGGATTGTGGTCTGGCCCACACTGGAACTGCAGCCGCTTACCATGGCAAGCAGTGGTTCTGCCACTGAGCGGGGTGTGGGTGCACCTGAGCTGGGCTGCAACCTTTAGCAGACACCAGAGACGTGGTGGTGGGAAGACGCTCCAGGGCCAACCACACCACATAGGCCCTGATGTCTTGCAGCAGAGTTACGGTCCCATGCAGAGCTTGATTCATGAAGAGCTGAGTGAATTTTGATGAGAAGAAATTGAAGAAGAAAATTGCTAGTTACTAAACAACAACAACAATACAATGAGTAATTTTCCCCGTCAAAGAGTTATTAAGGAAAATACTTTCTTAGTTTTGTTTACCTCATATACATCCAAAGACTAGCTCATGTGCAATTCTTTGTTAACAAAGAATGTTAAATATATCATGAACTGTGAGGTATATAAACAAATCTGTCTTAGAAGTATACTGAAATGTTAGTTATAAGCAAACAAAATGAACCTGGAACTGTTTATCATACCAGATAGCAAGAAAGTTATCAAAGACTATTCCAGGCTCATCTTGTTCATTTTATACCCCAGACCTGTATTAGCTAGTTCAACAAAGAACCTTGGTTCTTTTTAGAGGAAAGTTCTATTCAGAGATAAACCACAGTTTGGTTTGAGGGATGATCTTTGGAGCAGGCAGTACAAGAAAGGAAGCCCTGCAGTGAGATGAACTGACACAGTCACTGTAGCAATGAGTCAGATGTCCCAGAAATGATGAGACTGACTCAAGATAAGGCAAGATTCAAAACAGTTGTTTGTAAGATCGCTATGAGTCATAGTCAACTCTATAACACCTAACAACAACAACTTAAATTTATCTACAATGCTTCAAAATAAATGTTAGTCCTATTGTAATAACCTCTCCTCAGAAAAATTTAAAAAAAAAATTAAAATCCAGCCTACAGCGAGCTCTGGTGACCTAGTGGCAAGAAGCTGCACTGCAATCCCAGAGGTACACGGTTCAAATCCACCAGATGCTCTGCTGGAGAAAGAGGGACAATCTCCTCCTGTACCAGTCAGATCTGATTTGATGGTACACACACACAAAATAATAAGAAAAAAAATTGGAAAAAAATGAAACAAAATAAACCCAACCCAGCCTTCTTGCTTGTTTCTGCTTTCTTGTCCACAGATAGCCATACCACACAGGCCTTTGTGGTCTCTCTGTTTCTGCTCATGTTTTGGAGTTTGTGTGTGTGTGTGTGGGAGGGGGGTATCATGTCATCTAGTATTATTGCAAATGTCTGTGAGTGAGTATTTGCATTTGATATTTAGTTGTTATGTTTGTTCTTAGGGAAGTCTGGTGAAGTAGACTTTGGGAACTGCACTGCCCACCCAAAAGTAGCGCATCTCTGGCTGTTTTAATCCAACAGTTGCTCTGCAGAAGAAAGATAGTAGTCTTTCCATGAGATTTACAGTCTCTGAAAATGCACTGAAGGGTCAGCTCATTCAATTCTGATTTGATGGCAGTGAGTGAGTGACTTAGGAGCCGCACTGCTAACCCAATGGTGGACCTCTCACATGGTTTGAACCCACCAATAACCGCAGAAGGACGAAAAGCAATCTCCTCTTGTGATGTGTTGCTGTTGTTGTGTACCATTAAGTTGAAACCAACCCATACTTGACCCTCCAGCAGGTGTTCAGAGGCTATAAATCGTATGAGACGGACCTCTGGTGGCCTACTGGCAAGAAGCTGCACTGCAATCCCACAGGCTTGTGGTTCACATCCCACTAGCTACTCTGTGGGAGAGGGATGGGCATTCTCCTCCCATTTGATTAACTGCCTCTGAAAACCCACCAGAGGGTCAGCTATGGATCAGTTCCAACTCTGTAGTATGCAACAACAAATCATATGAGAGGATATTGCCCATCTTTCTCCCATAGAATACCCAGTGAATCCAAACCATTTACCTTTGGATTGTCAACATATTTCATTACCACTAATTACCAGAGCTCCCTTAGATTATTTACAGCCACAAAAAACCCTACTGGAGGGCCAACCATAAGTCAGTTATGATTGGACAGCAATGAGTGAGAGTTTACATTTCCTTTTGAATGAAATTTTGGAGATAATAAAAAACTTTTCCACTCTACTCACTATCTCCCCAAAATTCTTTCATTGTAGGAATAATTTACTATATGCTTATTGTTTTTTAAAAAAGCATAAGATTATTGTATACTTAAAATTATTCCTGCTAGTTAAATAATACTGTTAATCTAATTTTGGAGACTTACTCAAATACCATAACCTAATAACTGTGGGGAAAAGGATTTAAATTCAGGTTATCCGATTCCGAAGCCTCTGCTGTGAACCACTTTTGTAAAGCATGTGACTGCTAAGAGGAAAACAGTTATTCTTTGGAGCTTTCCAGCAACTTCTTTGGCTCATTTATAGAAATTCTAAACTGAAAATATCCATAGAACTACTTAAACAATCATTACAAGGTGACTCTGTTTTACAGATAGTTCTAAATTTGAGGTGAGAGTGAGGATTAGTGTTGTTTTTATTGTTGCTAGGTGCCTTCAGGTAAGCTCCAACACATAGCAGCTCTTTGCATAACAGAAGAAGTACTGCCTGACCCTCCACCAACCTCCCAATTGCTGTTGTGCTTGAGCTCATGGTATCAGTTAATCAATTAATTAATCAATAAATTAAGCCCTTGTATCAATTAATCTCATTAAAGATCTTCCTCTTTCTGATGACTCTCTACCAAGCAGGATGTCTTTCCTAAGGCACTTGTCCCTCAGGCAATTTATTCAAATTATGTGAGACAAATCTCTCTGTTCTCACTTCTAAGGTGCCTTCTGACTGTATTTCTTCCAAGAGAAATACAGGATTTCTTTGAAATCCTGAAATAGTATGTTTAGTATTATTTACTGATACCATAAACCAATTGCCTCAGTCTTCCATCTTTTTTTATGCATTGTCCAGTTTTTATATTCATCTGAGGTAATTTAAAGTACTCTGCTATCCTGACAAGCTTTGGAGTGCCCATTGGTGCAGTCACTAACCCATTTCATTGAGGTACTTAATCTCTTTTGATGACTCTCCACATTTACAAGCATGAGGTCCTTTTCAAAGTATTAAACACTCTTGATAACATCAAACTTAATACATTCCATGCTCCCATTATTAATAGTTGTTTGCAGCTGTTGTTCCTCATTTCAAGTCATGCCACATCAGTCAATGCTTCATTGGTTGAAAGCTTTCATCCATACACATCATTATATAGAGACTCTAAGAAGGCAGCTCTTCCCAAGTTGCATTTGAAACACCTCCCAACCTGAAATCACTGTATCAGACGATAAACCACTGCTACTCATAGGACTTTTAAGGGTCCATTCTTTCAGAAATAGATGTCTAGTCCTGCTTCATATCTGTCAAAGCTCCACTTAAACCTGTGCACTCAGGGTTACCCTTCTGGTGTTTTAAATACCAGTGGCATAGATTCCAGTATCACAGCGGCATGAATGCCACCATGGTACAGCAAGTCGACAGAAGAGGAGTAAAACACAACACACTGGTATTTTTAGATACCTCACTTTAAGTACTCAGTACAAGACAGGGTGTGTTTTTCCTCTTTTCCCAAATCCACAAAGTTAAAAAAGAATATTCTAATTATTGGAATTCTGACTAATCCTCTGATAACCTAATGTTTACTTCGTGGTCTATATTGTTTCGATCCATGCCTTTGAAAGAGTTCCTTCCAGTGGAAAATGGTAATAATATCTAAGAATTAACCTGCTTTCCCGCACCCCCTTATTCTAGCCAATTAATATGATATGAGCATAAATCTGAGACAGATAATCTTGTTTTTAAATGAGCATTTATCAAACAGGAAGATCATTTTGTCATTGCTTTTGATTACACTTAAATAGAGCCACCTCATATTAATGGATCTGAAGATTCTGAAGAAATTTCAGTGATTGTTAACAATCTGCTTGAACTTGCCTGCATTGCTTCTGGAATCCCAGCGCCTCAAATTATGTGGATGAAAGATGGAAGGCCCCTTCCACAGACAGATCAATTGCAAACTCTTGGAGGAGAAGGTCTTCGGATAGCCAGTGCTCAGGTAATACTAAAGTCCATGCAATTACTTTATTGTACATTAATCTAATATACAAAAAATGTTAAGAAATTATGTTGTTCAATCTTAATACATCACAGACCTGTGCAACCTTAACAAGGGTAGACTTGTTCTGGCATATGATTGATTAGGTAGTTAGTTACTTACAAGGTCACATGAATAAAAGAAAATTATAAAACAGATCAAGATACCTGTACATTAACTCTTAAAAGTTTTCATATATTTCCTGAAGCAGTTTTTTTGTGCCATTTAACATGGGGAGCTCTGGTAGCCTAGTGACAGGAAGCTGCACTGCAATCCTGAAAGCATGCGGTTCAAGGCCACCAGCTGCTCCACAATCTCCTCCCATGACATTAACTGTCTCTGAAAACCTGTTGGAGGGTTAGCTATGGGTCAATTCCAACTTTGTGGTACACAACAACAACAACATTCAGAAAATCTGCTATCAAGGACATCTGCGTGTTGTAAATGCAATGATGCTCCAGATTCAATTACAAAATTCATCATCTTTTCTTTGTATAATTAATAAGAATGACAGAAGAAGATTTGGTACCTTTGAGTTTTGGTACTGGAAAAGAGAACAGAATAATCCATGAAGTGAAGAAAAAAACAAAACAAAACCCAAATATGTCACGTCTTGGAGGAAGTAAGCCCAGAGTGCTCTTGAGAGGCAAGGATGATGAAACTTCATCTCACATACTTTGAGCATGTGGTTAAGAGGACTAGTCCATGGAAAAGGATATCGTGCTTGGAGAGTGGAGGATAAGCAAAACAGAAGAAGATCCTCAAAAGATGTCTCACCAGAGTGCCTATAGCAATGGACTTGCTTATATCAGGGATGGTGAGGATGGCGTGGGGTAGAACAGGGTTCAGATCTGTTGTTCATATGTCCACTATGAGTCACAGTCAACTCAGTGACACCTACCAACAACAACAACCACAACTATTTCTTAAACTGACAAAATGTGACCCATTATAACTGTATACTGACACTTGAAATGGCATTTTATTTCTGAAATGAACTTGCAGCAGAGAAAGACTAAAAAGATACACTTTTCAAACAATGTTAAATGTAATTGACATTTTAGTTAACATGTGAGGATATATCTGATATATGAGTGCATTAGAGAGCATATCTATAAATGACTTATGGTAACAACTTCTGTTCTAATAAGAAAGGCAAATTCTCAATTCCAGACATTCTCGGTCTGTGCCTTGATGCTCTTATTTTTAAACTGGTAATGAATGAAAATAATATTAATATCTAATTCATATAGTAGAGAATTTAGTAACATAATCTAATCTACATTGCTTAGATTGGTGCCTCAAACTACAAAAATCTAGCATTTAATATTGTTTCTATTGTCATCATTATCTCCTCCATATATTTTTAATGTAAAATAACAAAATTATATAATCATATCCTATTTGCATTTTCACTGAGAAAAGAGGAAAGTAAAGGAATTGGAAGAAGAGAGCTAGTGGTTCTAAACTGTCTGCTGTGTCTGTTGTATGCTCAGCTGTGGGTTCTCTATCACAGCCAACCTTGATAGCAACACTGTGAGGCGATCCCTTTATCCCTCATTCTACAAATCTGAAGAGGTGCAGATTGATTCAGTGCTTGCTAGCCAAGTGCTCAGCCCTTCTCAGTAATGAAGCTGAGACTCCAGTGTGAGTCTAGCTCAAAATTCATCCAGTGGAATTCAGTGAAGTTTTTCCCCATTTCAAAGAATACCTATCTTCCATCCACTCTTCTACATTGAAAAACATCACAATAACTTAGAGAATAGTCAGGCAAAACTCTCAAGCAGACTTGCTGACTCAAAACTCATGGTGGTATCATTTCATCAGGAAAAAAATAAGTGCAAAATAATGTTGTGATATAAAAAATATTATGGAGATGAGAGATAGAATGATAAATATAAAGGAATAATAACAGACAGGAGAAGGACCCCCAGAGGTGCAATGCCTGAATGTCAGCTGCTCATTGAAAGCTCTGTATTTTATAACCACCAGGCACACCCTGTGAGGACAGACCTGGCTGTCTGCTCTTTAAAGATGATATTCTAAACAATGTACAATATTATTGAGAAGAAAAAAGATTCCCTTTTGTAATAATTCTTTAACCTGATTTCTAAAATATTCTGCGTTAGGTCCAACTCATAGCAGCTCGGTACATAACAGAAAAAAAAAAATACTGAATACAAATGTATGCAATCCATGTCTCTGCCTTAAAAGAAATTTCCACTTGTCTGGGAGAAATAAAAGTACATGAGCTAGAATTAGATATGACACAATAATAGAGCTATTAAGCACAATATGACTCAAATTAAACAAACCACTGATCTTGAGTCAACTGAATTCTGAATATGATGACTATCTACTGGGTTTCTGAGGCTGAAAATCTTTCTGGGAAAAAACTGTACATATCTCTTTCATGGAAACTTGAGGGGAATTTGAGCCTCACATAACACTCAATGATATCATGACTCCCTAAAAAGAGTTTAAATGTGACATACTAAATATTATCAAGTAAAAAGAAATGTCAGGCCTTAGGACTTATCTTTATTAATTGTCTCTGTGTTTCCATAGCAAATTTTGATATACCTCTGCCATGTGTACTGCATTATATTTTGCATATGTGAGCTTTGTCTTTTTTTGTATCTATCTGTGTAACAGCTGATTATGCTTGGAACATAATAATATGTAAATTCTAAAATGTGTGGCAGAGACAAAAGTTTTGTAAATTCCATGATACATCTTCAAGGATATGAACATGTACGGCCAAGCACAATCAATAAGAGTGCATCTAAATTCCAAAATCAATCTCCATAATAGTCTATGTGTTTCCTACTGCCAAAGGGGCCCTTTAGAGGAGTGAGGGAAGATCTTCACCCTGAAACCTACAGCGCCCCTTTTCAGCAGGAAGTAGCTAAGAGAATACACCATCCCCTTTTCCTTATGAATCAGGGTGAAGTCTCTCTCAGGGAGGAGAGATAGGGAATGGCAAAGGACACACTGACAAAGGAGATTAATCAGAACTGGCTTCGACAAGCATTGTGGCAATTAGACAATTAAAACAAACATTCGGGGGGGGGGGAGAAGAACGAACTGGGGAGGAGGGTAGAGAAAACAGTGCAACAATGAATGAATGAAAACCCAAAATCTCTGTAAATGTTCACTAAAACTAATAAAATTTAATAATAATTTTAAAAAAGTTTTGTAAAACATCTTCCATGGAATGCTAATCAGTCCTATGACTTATTCCAAAAAGGAAAAAAAAACACCCTAAAACAAACTCTATGACCAACTATATGCGGAAAACTTTACATTCTTGTATACTTCTTCTTTATAAGCCATGATGCATGAAAATACTTGTGTTACATCTTACTCTAATAAAACCTATTTCATTATAAGTATCTCTATTAACATAACACACTTTAGAAAATGTAGCTACAAAGAATAATTGTGAGTACCCAAGATATAAGTCACCTGGAAATATTATGACTGATGGTTAAAGTTTGCCTAAATCAGAGGAAGCATGGGGGACAGTATATGTTGAAAATTAACTGAGTTGCAAAGCAGAGTTAGTGTTTAAATTTTTTAACTGTGATGAAGAAATACTTTAGTCATTTAGAAGACTTTTAAAATTTAAAAGGCAACATACTAGTTGGGAGAAACTTTTTAGGCACCATAATATCCAATAAGGACCTGCGCTGAAAACCTGAAGGCACACAGTTCGAGGCTACCAGCTGTTCCATCGGAGAAGGATGGACAATCTCCTCCCATGCAATTAACTACCTCCGAAACCCTCCAGAGGGTCAGCTATGGGTCAGTTCTGCTATGATACACAACAACTACTCAACCACAAAAAGACAACTCTGACAACATAAATCTCAAACTAAACAGACAGGCATCTGAGAAGACCACTAATACCAGAAAGGGTTGCATTCCTAGAGTAACAAATGCCACAAAGTTTAAAAGGCAGCCTTTGCCCAAGGATAAAAATCAGAAGGCAGGAGGGGTAGGTAGGAAGGAAGTGGAAATTGTTAATTCTGGGGGAATGCAATTGATGTCATAAAACAAAATGTGGTGTGTGAGTTGTTGGATGGAAAAACAGTTCTATAAACTTTTACTTAGATGACAATAAAAAGATTAACAATAAAAAGACAACTCATTCCACAGATGGGCCAAGGACTTAAAACAGTTCATCAAAGATACTCAAATAACCAAGAAGCCTAGCAAATAAACTCATTAGCCACTGACGTTAGCCATTTACTATGGGTGTTACGTGCCATCAAGTCAGCTAGGACTTATAGTACCACCTTGAATTAGCATGCTGTTGCTCTTGTTAGGCACCATCAATTCAGAACTGACCTATAACTGACCCTCCAGGGCATTTTCAGAGGCAGGAAATTGCTTGGGAGGAGAATGCAGCTGGTGTGCTCCTTGGAGGCATGAATGATGAGACTTCGCCTCACATACTTTGAGCATGTTGTTAGGAGGTGCTATTCCATGGAGAAGGACATGATGCTGGGAACGTTGGAGAAGGAGAGGAGGACCCTCAATTAAGTGGATTGACATGGTGATTGCTGCAGTGGACTTTTGTGTCTCAGGAATTGTAAGGATGGTGCAGGACAGAACAGAGATTGCAGAGCTGTTGTTCATAAGGTCATCATGAGTCGTACTCGACAAGATAGCACATAACAACAATAACCCAAAAGTGAAGGCAGGAATACAAATGGACATCTGTACACATTGTTCACTGCTGGTACTTTTTACAATAGCCAAAAAATGGAACCAACTAAAATTCCCACCAACATATGAATGTGTAAAGAAAACATGGTAAACATGTGCAATAGACAACTCAGCCATAAGGCGTCCTGATGCATTCGAAAAAGAATACTGAGCAAAATAAGTTAATTGGAGAAGGGCATGAAAGAAACCAGAGATTATTAGTGGTTACTACATCTAAAAGGGGGTGGAAGAGGGTGGTTTTTTTCATAGAAGACACTGAGTGTATGCTGATAGTGATCGAATGATTTGGAAAATCATAGTGACAGTGGCTGCACTACCTGAAGAATGTAGTATATTGTTCATGTAGAAACTATCAAGATGGTATATGCTTTGTTGTGTATTTTTACAACAATAAAAAGACATAATAATTTTATCATTTTTTTTATTCTTAAACAATACGAGCCCAGTATGCCAAAATTGTACTTATGTGTTTTCTTCAATTTTTTTCTTCATGTTTTTTCTAAAAAGTTTTCACACCTTACCAAAAGGTTTCTTTATAACCTATAAAGTCAATCTTGAATGTAAGAATTTATTTATTCCCAATATTATAAGGACGTCAGAGTTTATGAAGCCTTAATTAGTGTTTTCTGAAGGATACCTTGTTTATTTCATTGAAATGTGAGCACTTACCTTTATCATGAAAACAACATGTTAGGCATTGCTTAATTCACTTGTTTGGATTTTATAGGTGGAAGATACAGGAAGATACACCTGCCTGGCATCCAATCCTGCAGGAGATGATGATAAAGAATTTTTAGTGAGAGTGCATGGTAAATGTGGTAAAATATTCTGTAGACAGCAAGTCATACATCTACCTAGAAGTCATGCATTATCTATACCACATCCAAAATACATTAATGTATTCAATAATATGCGTTTTGCCACATAGATTCTGTTATTTGACTGGACAGATATTTTTTGAGAAAAGTTCAGTTGCGCAGATAGCTCGTATTCATTCCTTTAAAGCCATATAATGTAATTATCGGGAGAAAGATGTGCAGTCTCTTTCCATGTGATTAACTACCTCTGAAAACCTGCTGAGGGGTCAACTAGGGGTATAATCCAATTAGTGGTACACATCAACAACAACACAATGTAATTATGATAAGGAAGAAAATAAAAATTGTCCATAATCTTGGTACACAAAGATTACTTTTTATAGGTTTATTTTTTGCAGAAATATGATCATACACCTATAGTATTTAACTTTTCCTTTGAACTATATGTTGAGAAGATTTTTATATACATAAATACATTTTTATAAAACCAATTTTAGTTATTGTATAATGACCCATTATATTATTATGTCACCATTTATTTACTCCATGGTCTAGTTTTATATGTTGAAATTGTTTTTCACCAATATAAAAAGGTATTGTCATATATCTGTATATCTATATATCTACATATCTATATCTATATAGATTTCTTTGTATGTACATAGTGACCTTTTCTTCTCTTTATTTTGTTGTTGTTATGTGCCATCAAGTCAGATCCATCTCATAGCTGACTCTTTAGTGGATTTTCAGAGATAGTAAATTGAGCAAGAGGAGATTGCCCTTTTTTCTCCTGTGGAGTAGCTGGTAGATATGGACCACATACTTTTGGGTTAGCAGAACAACTTCATACCTCAAGGACACCAGAGCTCTAATTATCTCATTTGGCTGAATTTCTGTAAGTTCATTTACGTAGTTAAGCTTGCAGCATGTGTGTGCATGCATACACACACACACACACACCTGATGTATTTTGAAGACTTTAGAAATTTATTGTCAAATTATATTTTAGAATATTTGGAGCAGTGAGGTTCTGAACAATACTGTTTTAGCATAGAAATAATTATCATTAATCATGAAGATTGACACTTTAGAAACAAAACAAAAGGCTTGATTCATTCTCAAAGCCATGGATTTAAATGGTCCTCATGAATATCCCATAGATTACCAAAAGAACAAACATACATGTCTTGGAGAAAGTGCAGACCAGATGCTCCTTGGATAGTGAAACTTCATTTCACATACTTTGGGCATGTTGTTAGGAGAGGCTATTCCTTAGAAAGGGATATCATGCCTGGAAAGGTGGCAGCTCAGTGAAAGATAGGAAGAGTCAGAAGAACGCCAACAAACGAGATAGACTGACACACTGACAGCATCAGTGGACAAGGATGGCACAGGGTAAGATATAGTTCAGATCTGTTGTATATAGGGTTGCTATGAATTGTACTCTACTTGACAGCCCATAACAACAATAAAAATAGCCCATTCTCAAGGATGGTGAGACATTGTCTCACATACTTGGACATGCTGTTTGGAGGAGCCAGGCCTTAGGAAAAGACTGCATACTGGGATACTGCATAGGTACAGGGTCAGAGAAAGAGAAGAAGACCTCAGCAGGATGTGCTGACACAGTGACTGTAACATTGGGCATAACAGAGATGATGAGAATGGTGTAGGATAGAGCAAGGTTCACGTCTACTAGTTCATAAAGTCACTATGAGTCGTAGTCAAGTCAGTGGTAGCAAAAACAACCTCTAACAATGCGTGCACGCGTGTGCACGCACACACACACACACGCACGCGCGTTGTTGTTGTGTACCCTTGAGTTGGAACCAACTCATAGATGACCCTCTGGAAGCTTTGCAGAGGCGGTTAATTGCCTATCCTTCCACAGAGCGTCTGGTGGATTTGAAATGTGTGCCTTCAGATTTACAATGCCGTCTGTTATTACGAGGTTTACAGAGCGCACGCGCGCGCACACACACATATACACACACACACACACACGCACACACACACACACACACACACACATAAATGCCATTAATTGACACGTAAATTTGACTCCTAAGAATAACATAAAAAGATCACTGTAGAGAATTATATACATTTCCAAAAACTGACATGGCAATACCCTAATTAGGTAGTTTTAAAATCTTATGTTCAGAAAAAGTTATCACAAAGCACGGAATCTAGAAAAGGGATTGAGGACCCTTATGATACAGTGGTTAAAATGCTTGGCTTCTAAGTAAATGCTCAGTGATAAGAAGTCACTGGACACTCCATTGAGAACTCTGGTGGCCTCATGGGTAGAGAGTTATGCTGCTAACCCAAAGGTGAGTGGTTCGAATCCACCACCTCTCCACAGGCGAAAGATGGGCTGTCTCCTCCTGTGTGACTTACAGCTTCTAGAAACCTACTGGAGGCCTAGCTGTGAGTTCATTCCAACTCCATAAGCATGAGTTTTAGTTTTATTTTTGAGAGTTATTCAGTGGAAGAAAATGTGGCAAGATTTTCCCATAAAGATTTACAGCCTTGGAAACTCTATGAGACAGTTCCATTTTGACCAATAGCACACTGTACTCAGAATCAACAATAGCAACAATTTTTTTCCCATTTTCTTTCTCTTTGCTTCAGTTAATTTTGCTGTCAAATGGTAATAATATATGTCATTTATCCTATCATTCATGCGGCTGTTGGAATAATTTTACTACTTAGTGCATTTGAAAGTGCTGAGTAAAGTAAAACTTTTCTTCAATTTATATTGTAAATAAATAAAATAATGTTTTACATTCAGACTTCTTGATAATAATGAAACTAACCTTTGAATCTCTGTGAGAATTTTAATCATTTTATATGTCCTTGATTGAAAAAGGCTTTTATGTATTTGTTCTCACATCCAGTACCCCCTAACATTGCCGGAACTGATGAGCCCCAAGATCTTACTGTAATACAGAACAGACAAGTGACGTTGGAATGCAAATCAGATGCAGTGCCTCCACCTATAATTACCTGGCTCAAAAATGGGGAACAGTTACAGGTAAATCTTTTATTTGCTTCTACAGATTTCATTTTGCAGTGCCCTCCAAAAATTATATGTGAGGTCTTTGCTGGAAGACAAGACAAAACAGTATCATCCTATTGGTTATTCAGCATTGTTGCCATGGGTACAAAGATTCCTTTGATTCGTCCTCTTCTCCCAGTCTTTACTGGTATATTCATATCTACTTATAAACCAAAAGGGAGCCCTTGTGGTGGATAGGAAATAGTATTGTCAATTGAAAGATTATTGTGATGTTGTTGTTGTTGTTGTTGTGTGCTGTCTAGTTGGAACCTACTCATAACAAGACCTCCAGTGGATTTTCAGAGACAGTAAATTTCATAGGAGGAAATAGCCCACCTTTCTCCCATGGAACAGCTATTAGACTCAAACTGTTTGCCTTTGGGTTGACAGTGCAGCTTCTTACCACTGTTTATTGTTGTTATGTTCCATTGAGTCACTTGCAACTCATAGTGACCCTGTGTACCACTAGGGAGTTTTAATCCACCAGCTGCCTGCAAGAGGAAGATGGCCACTCTCCTCCAGAGTGATTTGCAATCTCTTAAAACACACTGGAGGGTCAGGGATGAATTGGTGATGACCCAATGACAGTGAATTTTAGAGCTATACACCAAAAGACATATGTTCAGACTCAAGAAGACCTAATTGACCAACATATCTATTGTAACTCTAATATCTTTTTAAAAAGTAGGTAAGAAACAGTCTAGCAAGAAGTTAGTACTGTTTGCTGATGCTTATAGAAGAAAAAGCACTATAAAGATCAACTCTAGACATTTTTATTAGCCAAAAATTGATATAACCATATCAAATTTAAAAGTTAAAATGCAGTCCACAGAAATTGTCGTCAGGTATCTAGATCCTTCTTTCACCTTCAAAACTGTTCCCTTTGTCCTGGATTCCAAGCAGCAGACTTTCCTCATACAGTGACAGAGATTGCCTTCAGAATTATACTATCACAATTAAAGGAGATACCTTTTCTCCCAATGCTTTTAATCAGCCATCCTGAGGAGGGTTCTGTTGGATCCAACTCAAGTTATCTGTCCCTCCTTGAATGGATAATTTTAGTCAGAAGAAGTGTTAGCACTGAATGTATGCTTATCTTAGCCACACTAAGAAATAGTTCTGTAAAAGGAGCAAAGGCAGCATGGGGAAGGCCGGGTCTGACTTCTAACTCCACAAATGGGAACTGCCTTCATAAACAGCATCCAAAACTAACAAAACTAATTCCCAGGAGGTCAAACATGTCTCCCACATTCCCATACCTATTTCTACTAATTTCAACACCAATCCTACTGATCTACGAGATTTAAAAAATCTGTTGCAGTAGCTTACTGACCACATGGAACCATATTCACCATTATGGGGTTTAATGAGATAAATTAATAGTAGTATACAATTTCTCAATCAGGAGAGGTTCTGAATTGTGCTCATAGGCCATTCAGACTTTAGCCTTGGAGCTTTAGGCCAGTGTTACGAAGTTTTCTCAATCCTGCCACGTATGTCGTCACCCCTGTTTCACCAGCAAGCTTGCACAAAGATTCTGGGTCCAAAGGGTAGCTCTGCTTCCAAAGGGTAGTCCCAAGTCAGCTCTGTTCCACATCTGTTGTCTGGTTCTTTGCTGTGATTGCTGCTGCTGCCACCCTCCTGTAGGTCTGGCTGGCACAAGGATCTCTAGCCCTAAACTATGCTCTCTGCCTTCTCTGCTTCTTCTTTGCTGATAGTAAGATTCTCAAAATCTGCCACTGAATCTGCTCAATTTATTCGCAGTAGTAGCTAACTCCCTTGAGGATAGGCTAACACATCCTATTTGCATGTTCCCACCCATCTATCCATGTAGCAAAGTTAAAGTCAATCAGTGGATAGAAAAGCCATTTTGAACAATAAATCCTTGACATCATAAGTTCTCAAGAGTTTTTGGTGCCAGAATAATAATTAGAAGGCAGACCAAGTATAACAGCATACGGAAATTCTACAGTTCATTAGTTATGTTTGATACAATAAAATAATATTTTATTCCTTTTTTCTGACATTTGAATTGTAAATTTTACTTGCTGAATCCAGGCAACTCCTCGAGTAAGAATCCTGTCAGGAGGAAGATACTTTCAAATCAATAATGCAGATCTAAGTGATTCAGCCAATTATACTTGTGTTGCCACCAACATTGCAGGAAAGACTACAAGAGAATTTATCCTCACTGTAAATGGTAAGAGAAATTGTAATCACTTTACAATTGAAAAATTAAGCTGAAAACATTTAAAGTAAAAATACAGAGTTATTTCCATATGCATGCTAAATGAATACTGTGCTTATGTGTGTTGAGTTGTTGAGTTGGGTATTTTTTTTCCTTTTGGGAAAAAAAATATCACCTATGAGATATTGAATTTGTATTTGAGCTATATTTTAAATAAAATCCATTTATATATGATTAAAGGTATATGACTCTCTTAAGTAGTCACATATGCCAGATTGTTATTCGTGCACACTGTTGTTTGTTTAATTGACAAAATCAGAGTCATTGAAGAATCAATGTATTAAGTCCCTGGATAGTGAATTGATCATGATGTAATTCACTGTTAATGATAATGGTATAAGTGTTTAGATGTGGAAGACAAAAATCAAGAGAACACTGTAGATAGAACTCTAATTCTATTAAAGATAAAATCTAAATGAAATAGTGAAGTTTGTAAAGAATCCAGTTACATATACAATAGATACTATTTCTTTAAAGTATTCCATTCTGGATTTTAATATATGACATTGTACAGGGTTGTTAATCCACACAAGTTGATATATAACATTAAATTTCAAATATAATTCTTCTATTCCCAGACACACTCAATGTTTAATACGATAAATGTTCTGAGACTTCCATGATTAATCACAGATGTGCAGTTCATTAAAGCAGACCACTTTCTGTTCTTTATTTAACATGAACTTGTTCCAATATTAACATTTTTCTGACCATTACTTGCTCAAAGAGAAATTAGAAGTAACATTTTTAAGTTATATCAGACCAGATCCTGTTTTTATTGAAATGTCTCTCATAGATGGCCAATTTCACAGAGCATATCAGGGATTTAAAATCCTCCTCCCTCATCAATGTTTTCTTTTTAAACGCCACAAATCTTAGGCAGGACTTTAAGAATTAGACACCAGTTCTAAAACTGAATAAGATTTGGTGGCCTAGTCTGTAGGAAGTTGCCCTGCTAACCTAAAGGTGGCATTTCTCTGCCAGTTCAAATCCATCAGCTGCTCTGTGGGAGATAGATGGTCAGTCTCCTCCTGTTTGGTTTACAGTTTCAAAAACCCACTGGAAGAAAGGTATCCCAGTTTCACCTAGAAGGCAATGTGTGAGTAAGTTAGCACTAGACGAAGCTATTCCTGTGATTCAGTGCTCTCCTTATCTCTCCCAGCACTTAACTCAACCTGTTCTTAGTGTAATTTTATTTTTCACATTGTATCTTATGTGCAGTTCCTCCAAACATAAAAGGTGGCCCCCAAACTCTAGTCGTCCACAGAAATAAGTCAATTGCTTTGGAATGCCTTGCTGAAGGTGTGCCAACACCAAAAATCACATGGAGAAAGGATGGAGTTGTTCTTGCTGGGAATCATGCAAGGTAATAACTCTAAAAAGGATAAAATGTTCCAGAAGACTGAAATACAAAATCCAAAATTGTTTTCCGAGATGTTATTCTGATCTTACTCTATTTGTTGTTAAGAAGCCCTGATGGCGACTGGGAAAAAGTGTTTGGTAATGACATATCAGATAAGGGGCTTATATCTAGAATTTATAAAATACTCGAGCACCACAACAAGATAAAGGTAAATAATCCAATAAAAAATGGGCACAGGTTATGAACAGACACTTCACCGAAGAAGACATTCAGATGGCCAACAAGCACATGAAGAAATGTTCAAAATCCCTAGCTCTGAGAGAGATGCAAATCAAGACAACTATGAGATATCATCTCACCCCAGTAAGA